TAAGGCGCGTAGCCAAAGCCAGGTAAAGTACTTTTTTTTTACAGAGTTAGCGAGTACTCATTATGAGAAGCAGTCAAGCAACAGAAGGCGGCAGCAGATTGTCAGTGTTTTTGTTTCTTTTCTCAGATTTTAGCACAGGGGTCATTGCTAGGAAACACTGTTTTGCTTGCTGTGTTTACCATGGTAAACACACGCTGAATTTGTGTTTGCTAAACAGTAAGGCGTGGTGTGCTGAATTCAATAATGACATATCAGGTGAGTATATAATCGGTTAGCATACTGCGGTAGCCCTCGCGTGAAGTCTTTGCCAAGTCTTTTAGTTTAAATGACCTAATATTAGTTTCTTGTTTACTGAACTAAAAAATATAAGGCTATAAGGTGGTATAAAATCAAGGCTATCACATTTGCAATCCTGCTGATATTTGGGAAAACACACTCTATATCTTGTTATAAATATTAAAAACAAGAAATCACAGGGATTTTTTTGCCCTTTATATATTTATATATATTCAGTTTTGGAGGCATTTTTGCTCTAAGCCCCCATTAATTTCCGACCCTGGTGCATGCGCGGCGGAGCTCTTTTTCGAGCATAAGCGGACACTTCTACTGTTGCGAGGCCTGTTTCAAGTGTAATGGGTGAAACATAGCAAAGGCCACTACTGTGCCTAATGTTTCTTCACATGGGATTAGGCTTTTCTGGATCTGATGTCATATACCAGAACAATGACAGTGGCCATGCCCACCAGAGCAGAGAGGACCAGTCGGATCACAGCTTCAGAATCTGAGGAATAAAAGCACAAAACTGAGATCAGCTCAGTGAATAAACATTAATATTGCCATTGACGTACCATAACAATTGTGACACTTGAGTGATATTGAGATGTCTGGTTGCTGATGGGATTGTTGAGCACACAGCTGTAGGTGTTTTTATCCTGATATTCCACCTCCAGAGGTAGAGAGAGACTGATGCTGAGATCAGACACACTGATGCTGGACAATAAACTGTTTCCTTTGTACCAGGAGAGAGTCACGTTTCTCACATCCACAGCTGTACATACCAATGAACAATTCTGCTGTGATGATGATGATGATGATGATGATGATGAAGAACACTGTGAAGAGTTACTGCTGATGACAGGAACAGGCAGACGAGCTGAAAACATGAGAGAATGAAGAGAAATGAGGATGAATGAAGATGTTCAAGCAGACAAGGAAGAAACATTGAGAGTAATAAAGACTGAACAAAAGCAGAACATTTAAAAACAATCTATTATAGAAAGTTAAAATTGAACATAGAAAAATTAAGCTAATTACTTATTTTAAGCATTTAGCCATAATAAGATACTTGATAAGATACCTAACTAACCATAGACGGTGAGTCTGAAACACTTTCTCACACTGTTGGTCTGTAGTTTATAACGTCCAGCATGTTCAGTTGTAGTGTTAGTGATGGTCAGAGATCCAGTTTGATTGTCCAGCTTCAGTCTGTCTCTGAATCTCCCATCAAGAACATCATCATTTACAGTGAATCTGTCAGCCGTTACATTGATTTCAGCTACTAAATTTTTTTTTCTCCCAAACCTAAATATCCACTGAATCCAATCACCATCCTTCATTTCAGCAAAATTAGTGTTTAGAGTGACCGAATCTCCCTCGTTCACTGACATTAGCCTCAGTACTGTAACAAAAAAACCCACCTGAAACACAGATAAAATCACTTGACGTTGGTTTGATGAAGCTTCACTAGAATACTTTTAATTATTTCAATGTGAAGTAAAAAATATTCTGCAGCGCTATAAACACTTAATATACTGAATAAAATTAGAAATAGTTTAATAGGTAGATTCTTATATAGACCAATAACTAAATTTTTAAAAAGACTGTCACGCTAAAACTAATGCTGTTGGGTATTTGAGCTTCATGTTAATTTTACTTAGACCTGAATTCAAACTTTATCTGACAGTAAAATCGCAGTTCAATTATTTCTGTATGATAGTAGTAGTATTAGCTTATTTTTATAAGGTATATTTTCCTCATTAAATGTATCATCATCTCTTATATAAAATTCTTACACTAAATAAATTCAATCAGGAAAAACTAAAGTTTATAGTGCTGTTACCAATCAAATGAAATCAAAATCAACAAAATCCATCTGTGCACTGCAGAAGTGGCACAGAAGAACTGTTGCATAAAATCAATATCTCATTTGCAATCGTGCTGATGTTCAGTAAAACAGCACTCCTGCTTACATGATATTGCATAACTCGGTCATGACATCTTTTTTATACTTAGGGTATTAAAGGTCATTCAGAATTTATCCTCATTTTGCCTTTTGTGGTCATTCTAACTGCATTTTAATAGGCTACATCACGCAGTGAAAGTACGCACACACAAGAGTTTATCGCACTAGGGGGGGAAAAACCCCACTTCACCTACAAACTATTGACACACACAGTGACCACAAACATCCAGCAGAAGCTATTTATCCACCGACAGATAAAACCAAACCAGATTTCTGTACTGATTCTGTACAAAACAAATGGGAAAATATTGCAGGGTCCATTCTGAATCCAAAACCATATAATGTTTGCCTATGTTGTTACAACAAAATTCATCAACTGAATGTAAATGAGAAAGCACAGCAATCTGTAAATGTATTTGTTCATTTAGAGAAATCTGCATTTGTTTACCGGAGAGATTTTTGGTTTGGAAAATTTGATGAGAAATACTTGAATTTATTATAAGATCTCTTTTTTTGATTGCAGATTTTGGTATGTTGGCAAATCTGAGCCAAATAACTCTTTTGAAACTCAAGTTGAAACCTTTCTCATTTCTTCTGGAGAAAGTGAAGAGGCCTGGATCTGTGTTTCCTGAATTTCAAGCACGACAAGCTTACACAATAATCCTCATACACTGTAAAAAATTACCGTGAATTTAACGGTAAAAGACTGTAAAAATGCTACAGTAAAAACCTGTTAAATGGTTAACGGTAAATTCCCCTACTATATACGGTGAAAAACTGCATTGGACATTACATGTAATTTTACGGTAGTGTACCGTTTTTGGCAGTGAAAAATACTGCATAATTTACAGTGAATAACCGTAAATTGGCATTCCCAGAATTCGTTACATTTCAAATTTGATGTTTTTTTGTTGAAATAACTGTTTCTTCTTAGTTTTTTCTTATCAGTTTTGTATATTAGGGTTGTGTGTCACACCTAATGTTGTTAAATTAATGTTTATTGCATTATTTCAGTTTCATGTGAGTTACCATGATGGTGTTTAGTGTTTGTGTGAATGACACTGTGCACCTTCTATATATGTTATTATTTAAAAGTTGCTTGTGATGGGCTTTTGTTCAACGTGTGACTTTCTCATCACCTCCTGCATTTGGTGGTTATCAGTGTATTACAAAGGTACAAAACAGATTTCAGTACTGTAATAGGTTGGTAAATGAACATTATATCAGTTAATGAAATTATGGTATTTAACTGTAAATTTAAGTTAAAACCGTAAAACCTAAAAAGTTGCTACCGTATTTTTTACGGTAAAATTCCGGCAACCACAGCTGCCATTTTTTTTTTGTAAATTGTAAGGAATTTTTTTTACAGTGTATATTAACTGTATGTTATGTATATAACATACGCAAACAATGCTTTAAAAAAAACACTCAAAACATTCAACATTTTAGTGCCCAAACGTTTCCAACGAGACAAAAAAATCATGTGAAGTACTGAGAGCCTCCTATATTACCTTTGCATTCAATTACAAAAAAAAATGTACAGCATTGTTTACTGTAGTAAACACTGCTGTGAGGGTGTTTCTGAGGGAATAACCATGATTTTGACACATTTCTCTTTTCTGACTGCAGTAATCTCTCTGTATTTTTTACTCATTTGAAAAAGTCATGGATTTTTCTTTAGATGTTGGATCAAATGAAAACGCAAAAACAAAATCTGCTGTAGAAGTTTACCGATGTTGTGCTGACTTCCGCTTCTGAGAACCTCGTGAAAAAAAGAGTCAATATGGGAAAAAGAACTCATTACATTAATATAGCATACGTTATTCAGTACATTACAAAAAAAAACTTTTTAGCAGTGTAAGAATGAGCTTAATAAACTTTGGATTCCTCCAGGAGGAGCTCACCATAATAAATGTAATAAAACATGGCGAGACCTCAGAGTGAATAAAAACTTTATTGATAAAGACAAGCAAATACAGATGACAAATGCACAGCAGTAGTAAAGAGAGATCTGTGTGTCTCTTTATTCATGTGTTTTATGTATCTGAGGGAAATATGAACAATAAAACTTTCAAATTAGATTTGATAAAACATGACAGAAAAATGCACTTCTGTTTTCATGTATTCATGTTCAGCCAGTTGAAGAGCTTCAGTATTAGAGACGTCTGATCTGAACAACAATAAAACTACAAGACAGGAACATTTTAAAGTGCTTTAAAGCCCCAGAAAATAACATTAACTTTGTAACAAACGTAAGATTGTAAAATATTGCAAAAAAACTGTTTAAAAAGTAAGGCATTGTAATATTGATGAATAATGGTATTTATCATAACACTCACTTTTGTAACTTTGAGCATGTATGTGAATGTTACTTTATGCTCTCAAATAATCTTTTAGGATGAAAATGAGTTGCTGATAAATGAACATCAAAACTAGCATATGAATATATAAAGCCATTACAAAAAAAAAAAGAAGATTAATAAATGATAAACAAAATTGTTATAGGAGAAATTACATCGTAAATTAGGTCGAGGGAATACGCGTATGATCTTGTTCAGATCTTCTGGATCTGATGTCATAAACCAGAAGAATGACAGTAGCCACGCCCACCAGAGCAGAGAGGACCAATCGGATCACAGCTTCAGTAGAACCACAACAGTGGACAGAGTCTGAGGAATAAAAACACCAAACAGAGATCAGCTCAGTCAATAAACGTTAATATCACCGCAGACATCAACTAATATCAGCTCTGCCGTACCTGAACATGTGTGACAGAGTTGAGTGATGTCCAGATGTTGAGTCTGGTTGCTGATGAGATTGTTGAGCACACAGCTGTAGCTGTTTTTATCCTGATATTCCACCTCCAGAGGTAGAGAGAGACTGATGCTGAGATCAGACACACTGATGCTGGACAATAAACTGCTTCCTTTGTACCAGGAGAGAGTCACATGACTCACATTCACCACTGAACACACCAGTGAACAATTCTGCTGTGATGATGATGATGATGCTGATGATGAAGAACACTGTGAAGAGTCTCTGCTGATGACAGGAACAGGCAGACGAGCTGCAAACATGAGAGAATAGAGAGAAATGAGGATGAATGAAAATGTTCAAGCAGACGAGGAAGAAACATTGACAGGAACCACGACTCAACAAAAGTAGAATCTGATATACAGAGTTAAATATAAACCTGGCTGTTAATGTAAAAAAATTAAGGTAATTAGTTATTTAAAATAATTAAGCATGATTAGATATAGCTGTAATAAATAAAACATGTGAAACTGATATTTAACTCACCGAAGACAGTGAGAATAAAAGGAAACTTGCTGAAATGTTTGTACCATAGATCATAAAGTCCATCATGTTCAGTTGTGATGTTTGTGATGGTCAGAGATCCAGTTTGTTTGTCCAGCTTCAGTCTGTCTCTGAATCTCCCATCAAGAACATCATCACGAACAGTGAATATTTTGGCCCGTTTATTGATTTCAGCTAATGAAGTCTCTCCATTATATCCAAACTTCCACTCAATCACATCCTTCTTCTTAATTTCATTAAGTAGAGAGTTTAGAGTAACTGAATTTCCAGTTTCTACTGACAAATACTTTGCTCCTGTATCATCAAACACAGACACGCAGAATAAACACAAACAGGGGTTAATATCGATTTAGACAGTCGTTTGCAAAAGTAAATAGTTTGACATTTTATTTTGAAATGAATATCATTAAACAACAGAAGCAAAATGGAATTTGGATTAATAATGTTTGTGGTGATTAAAATACTAAACAGGTGAAACTGATATTTAACTCACCATTGACAGTGAGACTGAAACTCTTGATCAGACTGTTGATGAGTAGGTTATAATCTCCAGCATGTTCAGTCATGCTGTTAATGATGGTCAGAGATCCAGTTTGATCGTCCAGCTTCAGTCTGTCTCTGAATCTCCTATCAGGACCATCATATACAGTGATGCTGTTGCTCTGTTTATTGATTTCAGCTATTAGAGTTTTTTCAATTCCAAACCTCCACTGAATCACATCATCATCCTTCATTTCATTAAGACCGGAGTTTAGAGTGACTGAACGTCCCTCCTTCACATACTTCACTTCCATTAAACTAAACACACCTGAAGAACAGAGTTTTTCACAGATTAAACTCTCACGAGTTCACACTTACATATAATTAAATAGAGTAAAGGTTATGTGTATTTGGCGTGCTGTCCGAGGGGAGGGCTGAACCCAGAGTACTCCCCCCTGCCACGTTGGGATAGGAATATTTAGAAGCGAGGACATGAGGTGGTGGAAGGATGCTGGAAAACCCTCAAGGAACATAGGTAAGCCTGCTGTGTGTGTATATATCTCTTATCTTGTTCATTAGGATAATTATCTGAACGTGCTCCTCCCGAACTTTGTTAATAAAACATTTACAATCACTTGAGGTTGGCTTGATGAAGCTTCACTAAAATACGTTTAATCGATTAAATGTGAAGTTAATATTCTGCAGCAGTACAAAGACAAAAGATGTTAAATGAAAAGACAAATAGATTTATATGTGGAACAATAACTAAAAAAGACTTTAATGTTTAATGTCCCACTAAAACTAATCAGTATCTGAGCTTCATATTTATTTTATTGAATCAATCCCTAATAACTGACTTCAGACCTGAATTCAAACCTGATCTGACATTTCTATATGAGAATAACAGTGTTGATCCTCTCTGACTAATTTAACCAGTAATTTAATGCATGTTACCAGAAAAGAAGCAACTGAAATCCTAAAAACACATTTCAAACTCACCAACCAGACGCCACAAACACAAACAGAACAAAACTGATTTCAGAGACATTTTCTTCATCGGTTCACTGAAAACCCCACGATAGCGATGCATAAAAATGTCTGAAAACACGATTGAACTGTGATATTTATCTGTTGAATCCTCTCTCAACAGGATTCGAACTCTGTCGCTGTTTCCTTTAGCAGAGGAAGTCAAGAAAACGATTAAGCTTTTGCTGATCTTACATGGTCCTGCATGAGTGAAATGTTGCATGAGTGTTGGATTTGATATCTGTATCTACTGTGTGTTATTTAATGTAGTAAGCTGTCAATCATATTTGACCTCTGATTCACTTCATTTCATTGTAAAGATGTTTTGTGTGTGGAGCAGAAGATTATGAGGTTCATATTATCAGGACAGAAAATGAAGAAACGCTTCACACACAAACTACAGACACACACAGCAACCATAAACATGTGAGCTGTTTATCCACTGACAGATCAAACCAGACACACTGATGTTTGCTCAGATAAAACAAAGAGAAAAACCCTTGCAGGCTTCATTTTTACTCAAAACCCAATAAATTACACATACCTGTAAATGTAATTATTAATTTAGCCTCTGAGAGAGTTGGTCTTGGGAAAATGTGATGAGAAATGATTGAGTTCATAATGAGATCTCTGACTTTTGACCGCAGACTTTGGTATTTTGGCAAATCTGTGCACAATAACTTTTGAAAGTTTGCCTTGGTCTCTTCTTCTGGAGAAACTGTGTAGAGGCCTGGATCAGTGATTTCTGAAATTATGATGAGCTTACATAACAACTTTTATATTTTAACTGCAACAGTAACAAGTATTAGAAAATCACACTCAAAACATTAAACATTTTAGTGAACCAACATCTCTGCCGGGACAAAAAAGCCTGTAAAGCACGGAGCACCGACTGCTGGATGAACAGTTGAGAGGAGAAACATTCACAGACTGAGATGACGTGCTTCCACTGTTATTAACATCCTACATCTGTCAACCCAATTATGTACACTTACAGGTGCATCATGCACTTAGTATATTTGAGGGGGCACCAAACTTGTGAACTACATAATTAAATATCTCGATTCTCGAATATGTGTAAGTAAATGCATTTTGCACCTTAATAGATCATGTTAGTTTATCTATAATAGCGATGTAGACTAATGTAAGAGTAATCTATCTACGAGGCATAAAACCCATCTTTTTTTGCTTCTCTGTTTCCGAGGTAACTAGGAATTACACAAGCTTCAGTCTGGATCCAGCCCTTATGAAGTTCTGAGATGACCTGAGAGATGATGCCAGTCCTGCCGAGGAACTCAGATGATGACAAACCTGAACCAACATACAAAACTACCAAATTTTGCTATAAGTTTGACTGCAATATAATCATTGCTGGTAATAGTGTTCACCATTTGTTTGAATACGTCATTAACTAACTGCATGATTTTTACTGTACATTTCTGCCACATGGACATCACCTTGACATAGTCAACACTGATGAGCTACTCATAAATATAATGTAGAAACTTAAATTTTCTGTGAAGCTGCTTTGCAGCGATTTGTTTTGTGAAAGGCACAATACAAATAAACATGAATTGAAAAACGTGAATTTTTACTTAAGTACTTTACTTAGGGGTGTCATGTCATAAAACATTAATACGACTGACTTTGTATTTAATGTGAATTTAATAAAAACATTAATAAACATTAATAAGATGTTGATATTTGGTTAAATTTCAGTTGCGATGTAGGTTGACCAAAATTCAATGTCAATTCAATGTCTAATGTCAATGTTAATTTGATGTCTAATACCGACATTAGCTGACGTTGATATTTTGTTGTTTTTAGGTGTTGTAAAGTAACCCAAATCCAACGTTAAGTCAATGTCAAATACTGACGTCAACCCGATTTTCATTCTCAACCAAAATGCAACATCTGTATAATGTTGGGGGTCCAACATCATCCTGATGTTATCTGGTGCCTGTTGGGTTACATTACCAAAGAATATTTTTACTGACTTCAATCTAGCACAAGTTTAAGCACTCAAACTCTTCAAAACTCATCTGTAGTAAAATGAAGTGAAACTCCCCCTTCAGCTGCAATAACTGCACATCTTTAAGTGTTAATGCATGTGATTGTCTGGCACTTTTTTTTTTTTTTTGTGGCTGGTTAATTAACACTCTGAGCACCGTCACTTTGAGCTCCAGTAGGCGTTCACTTCCTGTAGATCCATGGTGTCATTTTCAACAGAAAGAAACTGACACATAACATGTGAAATGTGTCCTAAAGCAGCGTTTGATCTGCTCATGAGATCCTGAGAGTGTTTGGCTCTGCTCTCTCCTGTCTTCATTTCTTGTCTTCATTTCTTATCAAATATCTCGATTGTTTCAGAGTTTCTCTAATGGTTTTATGGAGCAGGAACAGATTACCTGCTAGAACTGTGTGGATAAAAGTGTTCTCTGATATCTTCAAATGATTAATATTCAGCAGCTATGGATTATGACACTCTAAATGCTTACTTTGTTCCAACACTGCATTAGTCCTTACAGCTGCTATTAGAGTATGTGAGGAAGTTTTTCATTTGTCTTTGACCCTTATCATCAGATCAGACTGTGGCCCTCAGTTCATGTCTGCTCAATTTCAACAGTTCTGTGAGGCAAATAAAGTCTACATGTGAAGACAACATCAAAATGGGCAGAGGTGATGTGACCATATTAAAACACTCAGGCAGAGGGGCTAGACTGGAAACAGACCATATACAGATCCACTGAACACAATACTTCTGCTGAGCCTTGCTGAGTTTCTTCTCCAACAGGAAAACCCCCTCTAGTGGGCCCCGGCCCCTGGTAGAGAACCACTGCTCTAAATGCTTACTTTGCTAACAAGTGAACACTGCATTAGTGAGACAAAAACAAGATGACACTGCAACGGTTTCTCACTCACTTCAGTCAAGCTGCTAAAGACTGTAAAATAAAGATAATCAGCTGTGAGATGCCGTTTTGAGCAAACGCTTGCATATGAGGTGGGCAAATAAAGCAATAATTCCAGACCAGTTCAACATGACCAAATCAACATGAAGTCGCGTGAGCACTCACAGGTATTGAGGAAGTGGAGAAAATCTCTGATGATATTATTATACTCGTGCCAAACCAAGAGACACATGATCAGAGATCACATGCAGTCCACTGCAGAGTAAGTTCTGGTAGGACAAGAAAAGACCAGAAAACTGACAACGCAATTGAACTCAAGCTCCAGACACTATTGTGTCCAAAAAGGGAAATTCTGTGTTCACAATAAAAAAGTACTACTTTTGTGAAGAAATTCTTCAGTGCGAATGCAAATGACGCCCAGCTGAACAGCAAAAGCAATCAGACAGAACTAGTGGAGTCAGAGGAAACTGAGCAGATCACTCCTGATAACATGCTGATTCAGACTGAGCTACTGATGATGCTGTTGATCCACAGATGAAACACAAATCAGACTACAGAGATTTAAAGAGCAGGTCATATGGGTTTTCGAGTTTGTAACGTAGCTATCCTTCAATGTAAACAGTCTGCAAAGTTGTTAATCAAAAAAGTGCATGGTAAATAAATATATTGGCTGCGTCCGAAAGCCTAGGCAGCTGACTTGCTGCCTCACTGCCCTATCAGATGACTTAGCAGGCAGCGTTTTTGCACGAAGGCACCTCATGAAACTGATTTCGGACAGGCTTCTGATGCAGCATAATGGTTTAATGATCTAAAACAAAATAGAATGAGTTTTGGTGATAACTAAATGAATATGTAATTACTATAATACTGATTTCTCGCTAGAACTAACATCAAAAGTGCAAAAAGTTAGTCAGAAATAGACATTTATACACAAACTGACCACCAAACGCAACTTTCAGACGCCATATTTGTTTTTTAGAAACAGAAGGCAAATTCCGAACTGCTTTTTTGCGCCCTTGAAGGGCACTTCTGGAAGGGGATGCCATTTGTGGGGACGTTCCAAACGAAAGTGAACAACTGAATCCCTTCGCGAAGGGCCCTTCCAGAAGTCCGTTAGCGAAGGGAACATGTGATGGTCACTTCACGGAAGTGATTTCCGTTTGTGTTTATGTTATCTTCAGTTAGGAGATCTTGTGACGCATTTAAAAGCAAAGTTGTGGTTGATTTTCGACACAAACCTAAGTAGAATAGGCTAATTAAATTGGTCTTTATTTTAATGTAGGCCTAATACAAAATATTTTTCATCAGACATATTATTTAAGATGGTAGTGTAAGCAAGTTTAGTTTGAAAAAGCTTAATAGTAAGTAAGACACAATTAGACAATATTTGAATAAAATAATAATAATGAGAAGAAATATAGATTTGCAACAACTGGTGAAGTACTGATTGCTGCACGCACGCGCAGCATTGTCAAGGTAACATTTGGTCAGTCATTCCCTTTGCCAAGGGATTTCCTAACGCTTATGCGAGACAGTAATGCCCTACACCCTTCGAAGGGAGTAGGGCATAGGGATGCTCCCTTCCGTTTGGAATTCGCCCAGAAGTTTTCTGAAGAGCATTTTTGAAGCAGAAAGTGGGCGGAGCGGGCCGGCGCCATCTTGGCAGCGAGTCACCACAAGTCACTCCTGGATAATCGTACATGTGTGAAGACACGGGACGTGGGTGGAACTCGTTGCTGAATCCACGCCCGCCTAGCTCGACGGTGGTGACAGCAGCGGCAATCCACCTGTCACTCAAGTGGCCACGCCATTAATTATGCAGAACTTTAAGGCTTAATATAATTTAAACGGATGAGTTATAAAAAAATTCACCCCCCCTCACAGTTGTCATGAAGGGCAAAATTAGCTGTATAGACCAAAACCACTTTTTTCCCAGGCTGTAAACATATTTTTTTCTGCTGTAAAGTTGGGCATTTTAACATGGGGGATCTATGGGATTGACTCCCTTTTGGAGCCAGCCGCTAGCGGTCAGTCAATGAATTGCAGTTTAAGACACTTCCGTGTTGGTTTCAAGAGAGAGACTGGGAGGTTGCCGCTTGCGAAGGATACATCTATGCTGCCTTCAAAAATCTATCAGATGAAGGTATTTCATGAGACAGGAAGTGAAGCTAACTTTGGATTCGGACGTGCCTTGATGCCTTCCTACCTTGGAATGCGTCCTCCGAAGGCAGCATTTTAGAGCTTTCGGACGCAGCATTTGTCTCTCAAAAGAAAGAGTCAATTCTGAACCGCCTTAACGAGACGTCATATTTTCGAATCTTCTGCCTGTTATCTATATACGTCACAAGGTAACACATTTGCATAAACCCCGCCTGCCCACGAAATACGAACACTCCGACTTGCCCACAAACACTTCCGCTAGCTAGTGTGTTTACATCAGTTCGAGAAGATGCTGTGTTCTGCGCTGTGAAAGCAAGTTTGTTTTGTTTTCATTGCCGAAAGATGATGATGTGAAGACATCACTTAAAGTACAACAAACAAAGTTTAAACTTGCTACTGAGAAACGTTGTGCTTGCGATGGAGTTTCCGGTTGAGCGACTGCATCCATATCATCCTCGGGCTCAGGCTTGAACTGATTTGGTAATACCGATGTCATTTTTGTAAGCTTATAGCATCTTTGTTTACATGTAACCCTCCATAGCAAAAAAATAATTATGGTAATGGGCGTTTCGTTTCCAACACGCACTGTGTATGAAAAGACCATTCACAAGAGACTTGGCCAGCTGACCAATCAGAGCAGAGTAGGCTTATAGAAGGGAGGAGTTTACAGACCAAGAACTGCTTCGAACGAATCGTTTCGAAATAATTGAAAAACATTCTAATATTAAACGCATATTCTGAGAAAATGAAAGTTTTCTGATCTTAGATGCATTTAAACCTGTTGTAGGGGACTCCAAAAAAATTACCCTTTAAAATACCATACGACCTGCTCTTTAAAGACTTAATCGTTGACTGTCGGAGGAAATTCAGCACTTATATGTTGTTTATTTCACTGTGTTCTCAAAGTATATTATAGCTAGATTACCGGTATTATATTATATTAAAACAAAGTATATTATTACTATTATAATGTCTCCTAAATCAGCATTTTCTCAGGATAGAGGAGACACTAGGGGAAGTTGTTGGTTTATTATTGTGGATAGAAAAATAAAAATAAAACTAATGAGCTTAATAATAATGTAAACATTTACAAATTATGTTTTAGTAACCTAAACCATTATATGTGATCCACAGCTGAAACGATTAAACACACAGTTTGTATTCCTCCAGGAGGCGTTAGACATAAAGAAAATGTAATAAAACATGGAGAGACACTTGAAGCTCAGAGTGAGAAAACTTTATTGACAAAGGCAAGCAAATACCAATGAAAAATAGACAGCAGCAGTAAAGTGAGATCTGTGTGTCTTATCTGAGGAAATATGAACAATAAGTCCTTTCAAACTGGATTTCTGGATAATCTGACACTATAAATGCAAGGAGAGAGTGCTTATGTTTTATTGTGTTCATGTTCAGCCAGTAGAAGAGTTTCAGTATTAGAGACGTCTGATCTATACAATAATATTTACAACTCTACACTACCTTTAAGTGTGATTTGATGTGATTTTGAAAGTAAGTCCAATCAAATATGAGTAGATTGTAAAAAAAAAAAAAAAAACATTAAAAAGGAAAGCATTTTATATTAACTAATCTAGCATAAGCAATGCAATATTTGGTAATCATCAGTATTTATCAAACACTTACATTTACTTTTAAGCGTTAATGAGAGAATATGTTGTTGTTTGTTCTCAAATCATCTTCTAAAGTGGAAATCAGCCACCTAAAATAAACATATATACCAGTCAGTGAATGTACAAAACCATTACAAATAAATGAAAATTAATAAATAATAAACTAAATAGTTTTATGAGAAATGACATCAATCATGTACCTGGTGTGTGAATCTGTGCTCGATCTTGTTCAGCTCTTCTGGATCTGATGTCATAAACCAGAAGAATGACAGTAGCCACGCCCACCAGAGCAGAGAGGACCAATCGGATCACAGCTTCAGTAGAACCACAACAGTGGACAGAGTCTGAGGAATAAAAACACCAAACAGAGATCAGCTGTCAATAAACGTTCATATCAGCGCCGACATCAACTAATATCAGCGCTGCCGTACCTGAACATGTGTGACAGAGTTGAGTGATGTCCAGATGTTGAGTCTGGTTGCTGATGGGATTGTTGAGCACACAGCTGTAGCTGTTTTTATCCTGATATTCCACCTCCAGAGGTAGAGAGAGACTGATGCTGAGATCAGACACACTGATGCTGGACAATAAACTGTTTCCTTTGTACCAGGAGAGAGTCACATGACCCACATTCACCACTGAACACACCAATGAACAGTTCTGCTGTGATGATGATGATGATGATGAAGAACAGTCTCTGCTGATGACAGGAACAGGCAGAGGAGCTGAAAACATAAGAGAATGACGATAAGAACAAATCTAATCAACAATCATATTTTCAGTTGTATGTTGAGATCCAGTTTGTTTGTCCAGCTTCAGTCTGTCTCTGAATCTCCCGTCAAGAACATCATCACGAACAGTGAATCTGTTATTAATTGCAATCATTTCAGCTGTTAAATCGTTTTCACTCCCAAACCACCACCAAATCTGATCATCATCTATTATTTCAGTAAAACCTGAGTTTAGAGTGACCGAATCTCTCTCCAGATTCATCACTGATATTTCATCTGCATCATCAAACACACACAGAGAACAAACAGAAAGAGGGTTTGTCACAGATTAAGACTATTAAATAACATTATGATTGTTTATGAAAGTAGCATGTTTGAAATTTACATTTGAAATTAATAATAATATCTATTCAAGAGACACAAAAAAAAGCAAAATGGTGTGTGGATTAATGTTGTACTTGGAGATTACAATATTAAAATAAAATGGGTGAAACAAATATCTGACTCACCATAAACAACAAGAAGGAAAATTCTGCTAATATGGTTGATCTCTACTTCATAATGTCCAGCATGTTCAGTTCTGATGTTTGTGATGGTCAGAGATCCAGTTTGTTTGTCCAGCTTCAGTCTGTCTCTGAATCTCTCGTCAGGAACATCATCATATACAGTGAATCTGTCAGCCGTTACATTGATTTCAGCTATTAAAGTGTCTTTAACCGAAAACCACCACTGAATCACATCACCATTTCTTATTTCAGTACGACCAGAGTTTAGAGTGACTGAATCGCCCTCCTTCACTGACACTGACTTCAGTACAGCTGTATCAGCAAACAGTCCTGAAGAAGAAGAGTTTTTCACAGATTAAAGCTTTAAAATCACTTCATGTTGGTTTGATGAAGCAAAACACTTTTAATAATTTTATAGTGAATAATATTCTGCAGCAGTACAAAAACAAAATATGATGAATGAAAAGAGAAATAGATTTATATATGGAACAATATTTAAATAAAAAAGACAGTTTTACTTTAATGTTTAACATCACACTAAAACTAATGCTGTTGGTATTTGAGCTTCATAATTATTGTGTTATATTTAAAGGGGTGGTTCACTGTTTTTTTTCTAGGCTTGATTGTGTTTATGGGGTTCAGTCTAACATGTGTTAATGCTTCGTTTAAAAAAAAAAAAACGCATTATTTTTCACATACTTTACCTTTATTCCACACCGCTCTGTCCCTTCTCTGAGAAAGGGGCTGATC